TTTTTGAAATATTGATGCTCTAAATATCAAATATGTGTATGTAGTAGTTTTTTTATATCACCATCTGCTGTTGAAAAACAACTTTGCTATGTAATGATTTTAGTGATAGGAGAAAGAAACATGGAGAGTACTGAAAAAATTACTGGTATTGTAGCATTCTTTACACATGGCCAAAAAGTGAAACACTTTATATCAATGTGTCCATTTGTTTGTGACCAAAAGTGAGTGGCAATCACAGTTAATGAATTTTGATGACAATTTGTAGGAAGTTATAAAATTGTATAACACTGTGAAACCATTGATGTTGGTAAATTGCTGCTTCAAATAGTACTGAGATGGCAGCCATACAAATATGATTTTTAAATGATTGCCAGATCATGTTTTAGTCTTGCATCAGTGCAGAAATGTTGCCAGGTTACAAGGGTCAGACTAGGTTATGCTATGTTGAGGTCTCACAGGCTGAAATTTTAGGATTTTGTCTGGCCCAGGATTGTTTGGCCCAATGCAGCTCAAGTATATTCAAGTATGTTATCTGTAACCCACCTAAGTCTGATTTCCTTTTATTCCAGCCCAAATGAAGCTTGATGTATTTGCAATCTGCCCTTACTATCATATTATTAATGTATATTTCTTTTAATGCATAAATGCCAGAAATGCTTGAATGAATTGTTTAATGATGCTCTAAAACATCTGAGGTTATATCAGCATTTAAGGAATGGTACAAAGATATCACATGCCATGCTTGTAAAGTGTTTTCTCAAACTGTTTTTGGGAGGGAGTAGGTTTGAAAATTCTTGAGAAAGTGAAGTCAGTGGGATTTGTTTCCAGAGCCTGACTGTTACAAGCATAATAATTTCTACTGTGAGTAACATTTTCTTTGTGAAAAAATAATGGCTGGAGAAATCTATATTACATTCTATCATGTCATGTGTTTGCTCCATATTTTAATAAACCAGCTTGCTAGTCTATATGTTATGGACGATTATTAGTGTCAAGCTAATATACATCATTGGCCATTGTTCCTAATAACAAACAGGTCCACAGATTGTAATTTAGAATGTTTTTTTCATTCCAGTTTCAAATCACCAACTTCATTTTATTGTTTCAGTAACATGTTCTGTTGGCAGACTTACAATGCACTATTTATACTTCGTTGTATCACCAAATTCTTTGTGGAGAACTTGAAAGAAGAAGATTTGGTACGCCAGTTTGAGGCTTGCCCAGCCCGACAGCCTGATGGTACATTGCCAATAGCTTTAGTACCTACTGTTATAATAAGTGATCACATTTTCCTTCACTTGTTACTGAAATATTGGTTGTTTTTCTCTTATGTTGTAGTTTGGATATTTTGGCTATGGTTGGAGTTTTGTCAGCTTAAGTACATTTTTTATTGACGATGGCTGTCTTCTAGGTTGTTGTGCCATGTAGTCTGGTAGAAATTTACTGACGTTTCATAGGTCCTTGATGCCTCCATCATCAGAGTGACGTGTAAGCCGTGATGATGGAGGCAGCAAGGAGATCTGAAATGTCGGTAAACTTCTACCAGACTACACGGCGCAACAACCCAGAAGACAGCCATCTTCAACCCCACCTCCATGAAAATCATATGATGTAATATACTTTTTGACTTCTGTATTGAACCAAGTATGTAATGTATAGAAACTGTTGGTGGATTCATGAAGCCAAAATGCATTGGCAGGGAAGGAAATAAATAGCTAACATTAATGGTAAAAATTGTTGGTTTATGCAACTTCTGTACTATACTACTACATGGTATGAAGGGTTTTAACTTTGTAGGTTATGATTACATTAGAAATTTATCAATCAGCAATGATAGGAAAATATAAATTAGTACTTAAAAGAACATACTTTTGTTGTAAGGTCTGATGAGAGTACTCAAATCTGTGAATTGTACATAGTCACTTGGTGGCCCTCATACATAATGACAGGAAATGGAGTTTTTTGATTACATTTTTTAATTAAAGAATTTATTTAAAACCACATTTTGGTGAAAAAGTTTAGGGTGATGCAGTATTATAACATGTGTATGGGCTAGCAGGCTGTGAGTTTTGAACTCCTGCTGTAGATTATCCATCAGTGGATGTTTTTATAAATTGTTTTTGGATCCCTCACGTGACAGTTATATCAAACACATCTAAGTTGTGTCAAAAAGCAAGATTATACTTTTCCCAGACAAAAACAGAAAACTGAAGGCTACATTTCAGGCAAAGTTTTTTTATTTGATCTAAAGTTTTTGATGATTATGTACTCCTATCTTCCCTTTAGTGTGCACAAAGAGTAGTAACATGTAATTCTGTTGTAGGTACACGTCGTGATGATGAGAATGTGAACCAGCTGGACCTTTTTCTGGACTCCTTGATAGAGATAGTGGTTGATGTTCCTCTCAAGTTAGTTCAGTTTTTTGTAATATTTAATAATTCAGTCCATACCACAAAGAAAACAACAATTCACCATCACAAAGATAAACTGGGTCATATTGTTTAAGGATATTATTACTGTTTATAGTGAGAATCATATACAATCAATAAATACATCATGAAGAGTTATTGACTGTTGAAGCAAGTGGGACATACAGTTATCAGGGGGCTTTAAAGGGTTGCAACAATTCTTGTGTATCTATAGGGTAGTGGAAGTATATGTCTTTCTTATTAACCCTTTTGCTGTCCATTATTTTTCATTGCTTTGCTAAGAGAACATAATTTTAAGATAAAAGTCTGAAATTATCATAATGTTTAGATTTTTATGTACACTCATAAATACAGATGAAATTCATTTCCTACACACCAATCAGATATTCAGCATTATAGCCATTTCTCCTATAATGCAAATAGTTGCATTCGTGCAAAGCACTGTGTATGTTGTGGTATGGAAACCATTGGTTCGATTGGAATTAGAAGGTTAGGGGTATGGAGTTTGGATCCACAATCATGAATATAATTTTCATTAGTAATTAGTCATATTAATTTGAATGCTTGCATAATAAGTTTTCATACCTGCATTTATGGTTTACTTCTCTGAATTTCTTTATTTGTTTTGTTTTGATTGTGTTATATCCAACATGCAGCCATGTTGTGAAAACAGCTTTCTCTCTTAAATCAGTTATATTATGCCCAATTTATGTTATGAAAACATGCTTTAAAGGAGGAATGACTGTATTAAAACAAACTTTTATACAATGTTGTAGCCGCTTGAAATTGTGAATCTTTATCAAAACTGTCAGAGTTACACCTATAAGCATGAAAATTCCAGAAGCATGTGACATTTACTTACAAATTTAAAAAAAAAATTATACTAGACTGCTGCAATTTGAAAACAAACACAAATGTATTTTCACATTTCAGAGAGAAAAGTTGAATGTTAAAGCAAATGGAGAAGATTATTCTTTGTTTTGGACTAAAGTTTAGTTTTTTTGCTATTTGGTAATGCATAGACATTTAACCAGTCAGATGCTGCAGGAATAAGTTTTCACATTTCCATAGGTAACTTCATAAGTAGGTTGTTTGATATTAAAACTATCTGTAACAGTACCTTTAGTGATATTAATAAAGGACATCAGTTTTGGAGGTCTAATTGCCATGTTGCAATGTTTAGCATTTCTGATTTTTATTTAGGGAGTTCCAGGTTATAATCCTGATTCAGACATCAAATTGAGGACTTTTGTTAGTTTGCTCTGTCAGTTTAGGCATATATCAGGGTATTACCTTAAAATTGTTTTTGTGACAGTGTTGTGAGGAACAACTTGTTGAGTAGATCTTTGCATCTATTCCTTTCTTTTCCCATTGGTTAATACTGAAGTTCTGTTGTTATACTTTAGAGACTTCACTTACCCATTACACCTAGAGGCTATCAACTGCCTGCTAGTGCTGCTGTCTGTGCAGATGTTCTCACAACAACCTGCCTCGAAGTCCTGCATTTACAGGTAAGTTGTCTTAGCTAATCAGAAGACTCTTCTAAGACATTTCCACTTTATGTGGATTGTCTAACAGTTGAGCTTCTCCACTGTGTCTAGGTTCTTTGTTGAAAGCAGACTTAAAATGACCTATTGGCTTGCTGGGCCTGTTATAGGGTCATCATAACTTTGTTAGGTGTTTATTTCCAGGATTCTCAGACCTTATCAGCTATTCTAGAGATACTAGTTCCTAGCACGTAACTCTGACAGGCTTTCTCCTAATGAAATGTTGTTCTTGGTCTGCAACATGGATGTAGTGTTGAATTTTAGGAGAGAACTAGAGAATTGTGTGTTGGAATTGGAATATGAACAGTTCTGTAGTTGTGCTGAAAGCAAAAGAAAAATGCACCATACAAATTAGAATATTATACTGTCAGACAGATGGTTCATGCCAAAACATCCTTCATGATGTTTAGACTTGTTTAAAAATGGGAAACAGTCTGCCCATGTTTTCTCACAAATATGTACCTCTAGGTCCCTCTGAAATGTCAGTAGCCACCTGGTGTCATAACCCAAAGTTCACATTTTCACTACCATGAAAGCTTCAAATCTCACATTGACTAATTTCATTGATACCGCAGTCATGTTATCACAGGTCACCCAGACATATTAACAGTATGGCTTCTAGTCCGCATAAACTGAGCTCATTGTGACACTCATGCCAGTGATATCACTGTGGACCTGTACCAGTCCATTATTTTCATACTTGCCATTGAATGTGTCATGGAGTTTCACTGAACATTGGAATCCGTACTGTGTGTGTTACAAGAGTTTATTGTATTATGTATTTCCACTGAAAATTTCAGTCCTTTATTTTAGTTGTTGATTTTACGATCAATTTTCACTGATAATTTGAGCCCTTCCTTCGTTTCAGGAGTTGATTTTTTGTGTATTTTTATTGGAAATTTGAGTCCATACTTAATTTCAAGAGTTGATCAAAGAAATGGAGGTTTATTGAATATTGAGTCTGTACTATGTTTCAGGAGTTTGATGCAGGGTCGCTACTCGATACATGCTCCACTGCTTGTCAAAACCCTCCTCCAACACTTTATCAGCCAAGACAAGGCACCTCCAGGCCTGTACAGGAGTTCTGCAGGGGGAAGTGTAGTGATTGGTTTGGCCTGTATGTTGGTAATAAGACTGTTTTTCATAGTATTAGTGTTTTAATGAATTTACAACAAGAAAATTGTGTGTGTGTGGACGCGTTTGCGTGCATGTGCATATATGTGTTCATATGTACATGTTTGTGTGCAGGTGTGTATATATATATTTTTTACATTCATTTATAATTTGAGAAGAACCAGTCCTGAATACTGTCTGCTCTGTATTTTCCATAACCTATTAAAATTGTTGATTTCCATCAAGATAAAATTTAATGCATACTGATATCCTTTCATAAACAAATATAAAAAAGTTTTGTTTGTGTATTCTCTTATAAGTCAATAATGACCAGTTCTCTCCATTCATAACATCTCAAAATGATTGCTGCTTATCACTTCAAATATTTTGGGTTTGATTTCATATATTTATAAAAGTCGAGTTGTATTTATAGTGACTAACAATATACTTTGAACTATATGTAGCCTACCTTCACATTAAGTGGCCTCTGCTGACCTTGGGAATCTATAATTCATTTCTGAGGTGAAGGCACCCATGGTGCAGATTCCATTATACCCATTGATAGAGGGATTTTGAACATGATGATTGGCATAGGGGACCTGAAGTTTAATGTGATATACTCGCTTTCTTATAGTTTTACCTTTGGCAGAAGTGAAGGCTTCAGTCTGTGCAGAAAAACCTACACACAGAGCTGAATGAGGAACCAGGTCTTTCATGTTAAGTTCTTCAATCTGAAAATATTTCTCCTATTTTCATCACTGCAGATTCCTCAGAATTTGAGTCCAGAGGTTTCTAACAGCAAAAGTTTGCAAAATAAACATTTCTTCTGGTATCCATCCATCCGTCCTTCCATCTTCCTTCCTTCCTCTCATTCATCCAGTAGGCAAGCATATAGATGTCTTTAAGAAATTATTTTCTTGCAAGATATTTTAAGCATCTAAAATTGGTTTATTTAGTATCAGATACTCTTTTGTAAATTAAAACAATAATATTATCTATTATTAATATACTATGCTAGATTTAGATGTGCAGCATAATCTTTTCAGATTTAATATGTTATTGATATTTTGCAGTTTGCGTATCCTAAATACCAGCACGTCTTTGGATAGGACTTTGAGGGCTATTGAATTAAAACATATGTAATGGTACTGTGATATTGTGTGCAGCGGAACTATGGAACATGCTGACATTTGGCATGACTCGTGGCATTGCGTCTGCTTCTCCAGTATCATCTGACAATGTGACTGTGGTGAAGCCTAATGAGGTTTCAGAATCACCACTGTCAAACCAGGCGCTGCTGTTGGTACTTGTGCTAGCAAACCACTGCACTAGTGACAAGAACCTCCACAACCCATACAGACAGGCTCTCTTCTCCTGTTCCAATTCACAAGGTAGCTCATTGAAGTCCATTTTACAACATTTTATTGTCATAGCACAAGGATGTTGTATGTATTTGTGTGTCTGAAAAATGCATAAGGTGAATGTCTCAGCTATCAACATCATAAGCTATGAAACTTTATATCAAATTTGGAGAGAGTACCTGTAATCTGCACTAAATTTTATGTTTGTACTAATAATCAACATTTTTGTCTGTTGTTATGTATGTATGCCAGCAGAGTTT